TTATATAAAAAGGGAAAGCAGAAACTCTATATATGTTTATAAAAATGGCATCTCATGTTTAGTAAAACTGTTTAGCTTTCAAGGTCAAAAAACCGACACATTTTTTTACGCTAGTTGCAGCATGTCGCGTTTTGGTAAAAGTATGCAAAACAGTTTACTAAGTTCAGTATAAATTTTCTCAAGAACTCCTTCTGTAAGGATTAGTAATAAGTGCCAAAACACGACAAAATTTGACCTTCACCAATAAATTTTTTTCCGCCGAAATCCCACTCTGTGATGTTATTATTGTTCTGGGGTTGGACGAAATTTTGAAATATATGTAAAAGTTCAATGCTTTTATATTTTAGGTATACCTTGGCAAATCCGCTCTCCCCACCTTTTTAGTATCGTAAATACAAAAAATAAAAATATAATAAATTTCTTTACTAGCAATTACCTACCATCTAAATCTAAATTAACTTTTCTAAAGAATATTTGTACATAATTAGTCAATTTTATTACAACAATAACATACACTACAGACATGTATACTTTTTAACCGATTGCGATGAGTCCAATGAGTTGGTAAGCAAACAAAAAATAACAAATAAGGCAACACTGGTATAAATTTGTAATTTAGAATTTGGTATAAAAACTGCACCCACACCAAAGAATTTTGTTATATTTATACTATCTTCTAACTACAATTACGAGATACATACATACATGTAATTTACAATTGACAGTTTACATTACGTTACATATAAAATGTAATGCGGTAAAAGTACTAGGTTAGCTATGTTCTAAAGAGAGCTACGAACAGGAGCAACACACTTACCGCATCCTGAAAATAAAAATGAAATAAAATTAAAAGTAAAATACACACAAAACTATTAACGAAAGCAATACGCAATTTTAGTAGGTAAAAAATGTGTGGCACATTAGTAACAAATTTCGAAGTTTAGTGGAATGGTACTGGCAATTGATTGTTGTAATTGCTTGGGTGTGCAATAGACTAATTTTGGAAGGTGCTCGAGAAGTTTTAAACTACATATGTAAATCACCGGATTTTTATTAAGTATATGATTGTCTGCAATTGTTCGCCAATTTTTAAATATTTAAAAAACAAAATTAAAAAGCTAAGCGGTTTGTAGAATCAGCCTTTCATGCAAGAGTTAGCTTAACTTTTAGCTACGGGGGTGGGGCACTTAGCTCAATTAAAACTATTTCAAATTGTGTAAAAATTTATAATAACTATTTAACATATAATATTGTATTTACAAAAACTATATTCTCCACTTTTAACTGATTAAATCAGCATAGTATTCAGCTCGCACGAAAAAATTCATATAAAACGCTTAAGGGCTTGAAAAGAAATTCATTACTTCTAGGTAAATATAAAATTTTTTTTTAACCGGTTCTCGTAAAAAATACAACTGACTTCAATGCCCATATATAAATTTGTGGAGTACCGTTAACTCCTTCATGACCCAGGATCAGATCCAAACCAAATTAGTAAGAGACCACCCTTGAGGTAGAACATTTCCGAAAAAAATTACAAAAATTAAAATACATTAAAAAATATAGTTATATAAGATATTCCGATGAATTGATAATGTTCCTCCTTTTTTGAAGTCGGTTAAAAATACTCATATATTTTTGTCTTTCTTAAAGAAAATTTACGATATTTTTTCAGGCCTCAAAAAAATGAAAAATCTTTCTTGAAAGCCGAATACTAAGCTTAATGGGTCCCAGTTTTGATTTAATAATTTAATAATAATAATAATTTTTGTAGGTACATATGTAATAATCTATGTAAAATAAACATTTTTACAGCGGGATTTAACAGATTTCCGTTGAAGTTGAAATCAAGTCATGCGAACGTTAAAATTTACACTTACCTTACGGGTGCTCTTATCCCCGCCGGTACCATCGGCTGTGCTGCCACGCGCTCCGGTGCCGCTACCGGCCGATGATGGAAACGACCCGGTGGCAATGTTGGAAAATGGTACTGGCTCCGAAAATTTTATCGTATGCAATAGTTGCATCACAACATTCGAGACATTACGAAATGACAATTTGCGACGACTACCAATGGCCGAGCGTACACCAAGCGTATTTAGCATTAATGGCTGCAACCATAGAGAATAGAACAGAAACCAAAAAAAAAGTTATGAATAAGTAAATGATGGCCATACAGCAACTGAAAGTAGGTCTATGCACTTTATGTGAGTTCAGTGTCCTAAGATATTTTAAAATCATTCACCTTTCGCCGATGAGGTGGTGGCACTATGAAATACGTATCCACACCATGATCACGTAGATACGACGAACGCTGATCGCCATGTCCTGCTTCAACTTCATATTCGCCCGATAGAGCGTCAAGTGTGGCGCGTGTAACATGCACTCGCCCCGGTTCTCCACCCGATTCCATGTGATTGGCCAATGTCACATCGTTGGACCAGACATCGAATTGCCATTTGCGTAGCCCCAGTACACCGCAAAGCACCCGTCCCGTATGTATGCCCACACGCATATTCAATATCACATCGGTGGCCTCCACCACGGTGCTGTAGAAGAAATAAAAAAAAAAGAAAGTTGTAAGTGCAAAAGTATGTGCGTATAAACTTCCATGTCCGGTATAAAAAGTTGTGTACGTACGCAATGGCATCGATCATATCCAGCCCCATTTCAACGGTACACTTAGCGTGATCTTTACGCGGTTCAGGTAGACCCGAAACGCAGTAGTAGCAATCGCCGAGAATTTTGATGCGCAAGCAATGGTTGTCCTGGAAGAATATGATAACAAATTGATTTCTTTAATACATATTTACGCAGTTGTAGAAATTGATTATTGACTTACGTGCGCCAGTTGATCAAATCGCCCGAACAGCTCGTTCAACAGTCTTACTAACTCCTGTGCACTACATTGCGACGACAAGACGGTAAAGCCGACAATGTCGGCAAACAATATACTGAAACGAGAATTAGTGGAATGCGTATCAGAATGAGTTTCGTAATTGTTTTACTGTACATATCTCCTAACTATTTAGCTATAATCCAGTATTGCTATCCTTCCTAAGCAATTTCATTAATATTTTCCTAATGTCAATCAATACATTACATGTGTACAGTGGCGTAGCCAGGGGGGTATGGGGGATAGATCCCCCCCTCGTCATTGAACTACAATTATTTACTTTTGAATTAATAACACAATACTATTTTATCCTTCTGATTAAAATTTTTTTTTATTTCAGACGGATGACAAATTATCTTTTAATGAATATATGAGTAGTCCACTTGCAAACAGCGTTATGTGATTTTATAAAAGTAAACCATAAATTAAAAAAAAAAAAACGTCTACGACAACAAGTAACATCCGAACTGTATCTTTTTTTATTACCTGAAAATTTTGATAAATAAGAGCCTAATACCATTAAAAAAATAAAATTGCAGTATGGTAGATTTGCAAATTTTATATTTAAAAATTTAATATTGCAAGTTTTGAAACAGTAACTTTTACATAGCTAGCTTTTTTTAAGCTTTTCGCGTTCTCTCCCCTAGGAAGATTGGTTTGCTTCTTTTTTGCGACCTCTTCCACTAGGCACCGAAACTACCACGTTTTCTTGCAGTTTTCTAAGTTCATAAATGTATAAATAAGTATTATAGCGACTTTTGCAAGAGTAATTAACATTTCATGCTATTTTTTTCAGAATATAAAAAAATTTTTCACTCTGCTGTTAGTGGACATGAAACCCAGCAAAAACTAAAAATCTAAAAAAAAATTTACATAGCGCACTTTGCAAGTGGACTACTCAATTGTTGATTATGCTATCTTATTTGTCCCTTCATTTTATACAATTAAGGAGCGGCTGAATGGTTTAACGATATTAGCGGTACATAATGATGTGCCGATTACAACACAAGAAGTAATTGAAAAAATGTGTGTTAAGCAACGATGATTAAAAGTCGCTTTATAAGTAATAAGATTTTGTAGACTTGTACATAAATAAATGTAAATAGATACGCGTAAATATATAAATATGCAGATATACTCAATGTGTAAAAACTGAAGTGTATACTAACGAAACTTCTACAAAACAAAACTGGACTACACACTAATTAATTAAAATGGTGTAGTAATTTAATTTTTTAAATTTAAATAAAGCCTGAATTCCCCAGGGAATAACCGAGTAGACATAAAATATATAACAGTAGAAATGGCACATACATACATATATGAAAGAATGCCCACAGGCGACGCACTATAGGCAAAACACGAGTTTTTTTTTTCAAAATCGTAGATCTTCGCTTAGAAAAGAGATAATGGAATGCATCATTTAACCCTTTAATTCAGAGTCTGTCATATATGAAACGCTTTTTAACCCTTTCAAGGCAGAGGAAAAAGGTTCTCAATATGCTTTTGAACGTGCTTTTTCTCATGTTGACGTAGATATTAATCGCAGAAAATTTTTCCATAGTAAAATAATAATAACAAAAAATAAATAAAAAATAAAATAAGAAAATAAAAATATTAAAAATAAAAATAAATAAAAAATAAAAATAAATAAAAAGTACGTTGAAAACATATTGAGAACCATTTTGCCTCTGCCTTGAAAGGGTTAAAAAGCGTTTCATATATGACAGACTCTGCATTAAAGGGTTAAATGCTGCACTTTCGTAAAGATATCGACCAGTATAACCATTTTTGTTATATAAATTTTTTTGTGAAAGCTGATAGTTTACGAGTTATTAGAGTTTAAAGGTAGCTTTCCTTTTTCCAATCTGGCCACTCGGGTACAGCATCCAATGTTCCAAGAATCGAGTCTTAAGATAAAATAAAGAGAAATCTAACAGTGCTAATGGTGTATTAAATATAGAGTTTTCTAGTGGAATGGAAGCCAAAATTAAAAAAAAGTGACATTTTGAACGGTATTTTGAGGGTTAAGTTATTGTTGTTGTAACTTCTCTATAGTTTTGCTATATTATATGATCATTTTTCTTCACGATAAAAAAATGTTTATTCCATTATCTCTTTTCTAAGCGAAGATCTACGATTTTGAAAAAAAACTCGTGTTTTGCCTATAGTGCGACGCCTCTAGCCATTGTGTATCACAACTTAAAGTTATCGCCACTGCATGTGTATATAAGTATTTGCCACACCATTTAAAGCCACAATAAAAAAGATTAAATTGAAGCGTTAATTACAATTTCAACATTGCCTTTTCATAAACCTGCAGCGAGGGGCAAAACTGTAACATGGTGTAACATTTTTTGTTTCAGCCACCGCTTCTTGCCAAGTTCTAACGACTGTCATACTTTTGTTGTATATGTATGTATTTTTATTGGTATACGGTATACCTGTACTTCGTCTCTCATAACGATTTGAAGTCAATCCAACAACAATAATAAAACTATCAGACTATTAACTCTTTGCTGTGTTTTAGTTCCTGGATGCGATTTGGCATACTGGATGTGTATCTTTGTAAAAATTCTGAAGGTATAGCTTCTCATGTCTCCATGTCTTCATGTACTCCATTGGAGGAGCTTGTATACACAATAACAATTGGGTTGGGAATAAAAATTATGGTGCCTTAAGCCAAAAACTAGCTGCCGACGTGGGTTCTCACGGTTTTTGAAGATTTTAAAGTTAAACACACATATATTTTGCGGTAGAATTAAATGAGTAGGATTTACCATGATTAGACAACGATTTTCCGTCCAAAATATTTACTGCAATATGGTCTTGGACTTATGTAGTTAGCAAAGTCATTCTACGAAAAATTAAGGATAATCGAGATATCTATTTAATCCTTCTATAGAATATTTTAATTTTTGATCAAATCAAATTTGAAAAAAAACTGGATCTTTGGGTTGAAAATTATCCAAGCGCACCGTGTATATCGTCTGCCAATAAACTATTGTAGTATAGTTCAAAAATGTCAAAATACAAAGCACCAGTCTCTTTAGTTTCTAAACCGCTCTAGAAGAAAAAGTCAAATTTGCACAAATTAGTAGCAAACAGCATCTCACCGTGGTTGCGCACTTTTGGAATTACAATCTACTGAGGTATAGAAATAAAAGAGACTGATGCTTTGTATTTTGACGTTTTGGAATGCACCCTGTGTTAAGATTTAGGTCAAACTTCTCTCGTTTTTCTTAGTATGCGCTCTCCACTTGGCATTTAGTGTAATACCAAAGTATTTGGATTGTTTAACTTGTGGAATAATTGTGAGTCAATAAAAAAAGGCTTGTATGTTTGACTTTTTAAGGGAGATACCATATGTACTGATTTAGTCTAATTTAGTTTTATACGCCCATCTCACACATATCTGAGCCCATTTTGGTTTAACTCTTTTATAGAAAATACTTTATATATAGTTTACAATGAAATGTAGATTTAAAGCTGATATTTGGGATTTTTGATAAAAAGTAAAAAAAACACTTAAATTTAATTTAAGCATAAGAAACACGTTTGAAATTACTAATATAAGTTGCGTTCCTTATCTTCTAAAAAATAGTAAGAAATAGTCCAAAGTAGTCAGATTTTGTCCAAAAGGCGTTTCTTAACTCGAAAATTACAGCAGAAATGAGACAGAAACTCTCAGTGATAGTCACTCTCTTCAGTCCGAAGTTACAAGATTTAGTCAGAAGATTTTTTTTCTGGCAAAATCTTGAAAAGTGTCAAACTAATGATATGAAAACTAAAAAAAAGTGAATTGAAAAAGGGAGGAGACAAAAAATGATTGATATAGTAAGTGCTTATTGTGCTTGTGCTTGTGTGAATGTGTTTTGTACATACAGTTCTATTTTTTTTTGACATTAGTTTTGTTGTTGCCAATCTTTGGACTAAAAATTTGGTTTCGTTCCATTACCTTTTCCTGTTATTCTCTTTTAGTGAGCGAATTTTCCTTACGCTCTTGAATTTTGTCACTTTTCTGATTTTAGTCAGAAAAGATAAGTAATGCACCTATTGTGTATTTGGTGAAAATTTCCTTATCAAAAAAGCGGCAGTTATTTTTCCTTAAAAGTCTCCTAACCAATTTAACGCTTGTGCTTCCTGCGGAATTACGTTTTGAAGATATGGTAAAAAATTCAAGTGAAAACAATAAAAATTCTTGGAGTTATCCTCCATGTCAATTTTGAAATCCATGTGTTCCGAACAATGTGTTTAAAGTTTTTTTTTTATGGTTTGCTTACAAGCTACCTACATTTTTAAGCCACCGAATTAAGTCAACCGTTCCTTTTCCTTTTCGTGGAATGACTATGCTAATCAAGGTGAGTTCTTAAAGAAAAGATTTCAACGAAAAAGGCGGGTTAAGCGGAAAAAAGTAGTTTGCACAAGCCTTAATATATAGGCCAGAAGCATATTGAACTTCATTTTCCACATTCGCTAACATGGATAATTTCGTAAACGTCAATCCCTCTAGTTTAATTATTTCACGTTATCGCGAGTGCACTGTATGCACAATTTATTCTAATGCCATTATTTGTGGCAAATGTCAATCAACAAACATTTTAATTTTTAATTTGGTTAAATGCCAACAAGATTCATTGACGCAAAAAAAATGTAAATGCATTTCAATATTGCAAAAATTCAATGCTGAAAGACGTACATCAATCAATTTCCGTGTAGATTTTAAATAACCTTTCACTGCTGCTCAGCCTTTGGCTTTAGTCTAATGGAATTTTACGTTTCGCCTCCTACTTAATTTAGATTACATTAATTTCATGCGGCGAATCACTCTGTCATCACCACAAATGCATCAACAAACGAATATGTACATAAGAAGCTTTGCATTTTTTCATATTATTGAAAAAGGATTTTTTGCAGGGGCCGTAACAGTTACAACTTTTATTAAAATAACCACTCTGTAACAATTATTTTGTTACTTTTAATTAATTACTCCTTAAGTAATAGTTTTTTCTAATTTTTATTTTATAAATCCAAAATAACAATTATTTTTGGGTTTTG